TGGGGTTATTATGCCCGAAGTGCAGGACCCGACACTTGTTGAAACTCTTACAGTTGACCTCAGCTCATTGATTCAGCCTGTCCAGGTCCCTCTGCAGAGCCTTCCTACCCTCAGGCAGATCAACACTCCCTCCCAACTTAGTGTCACCTGCAAACTTGCTGAGGGAGCACTCAATCCCCTCATCCAGATCATTGATAAATGTGTTAAACAGGACTGGCCCCAAAACAGAGCCCTGGGGAACACCGCTTGTGACTGGTCACAACTGGATTAAGCTCCATTCACCACAACTCTCTGTGCTCGGCCATCCAGCCAGTTTTTAACCCAACAAAGCGTATGCCCGTCCAAGCCATGCCCAGCCAGCTTCTCCAGGAGGATGCTGTGGGAGATGGTGTCAAAGGCCTTACTGAAGTCCAGGTAGACAACGTCCACAGCCTTCCCCTCGTCCACCAAGCAGGTCACCTCGTCATAAAAGGAGATAAGATCAGTCAAGCAGGACCTGCCCTTCCTGAACCCATGCTGACTGGGCCTGATCGCTTGGTTCTGCATGTGCCGTGTGATGGCACTCAGGATGACTTGTTCCATCACCTTCCCTGGCACCGAGGTCAGACTGACAGCTCTGTAGTTACCCAGGTCTTCCTTCCAGCCCTTCCTGTAGATGGGTGTCACATTTGCAAGCCACCAGTCAGCTGGGACCTCCCCAGTCAGCCAGGACTATTGATAGATGGTGGAAAGTGACTTTGCAAGCACTTCTGCCAGCTCCCTCAGGTCCCTGGAGTGGATCCCATCTGGCCCCATAGATTTGTGTATGTCTAAGTGCTTTAGCAGATCGCTAACCACCTCTTCATGGATTATGGGGGCTTCACTGTGCTTGCCGTCCCTGTCTTCCCGCTCAGGGGACCGGGTACCCAAAGTACTGCTGGTTTTCCTACTAAAGACTGAGGCAAAGAAGGCATTAAATACCTCAGCCTTTTCCTCATCCCTGGTCATTATGCTTCCCTCCACATCTACTAGAGGGGGGAAATGGCCACTAGTTCTCTCTACTTAGGTAGAGGAACTGTTTTCTCTTTCTGATGGATAAAGGCAGGTTAAAAATCACCCTGCAAATAACTGAATGTGATCTCTTCTGTGTAAATCATATTGGTAAGACAGTGTATGTGGGAAATTGGTGCTGGTGTTTGTGGTAATCAGTGAGTTGTCTACCCAGAACCAGACACAGATGAAAATGTGTGCTTTTGAAGTACTTTGCTTAGTGTCCATCAATGGGTTTTTCAGGTGGAAATAAAACAGAGTAGTGTCTAATAAAGTGGCAAATACACTTTTGAAGCTACAGTATAAGGTAATCATTGTCATGTTCATCCTTGCAATTTCCCATTCCAACTTTGTCTAATATCACATTTGTATTTGTACTTCTGCTTATCTGTTGCTAACATTGTATGTTGTGATTTTATTAGTATACAGTGTTTGTTCAGGTCTGTGACAGTGTCAATGTATGTGACTGATAAATTTGTTGTTACATAGACTTCTTTTGAAAGATGATGTTAAGAATTATGCCTGTCACTTAACCTATCATCTGCTTGGCACAATGTAATTAAAGTGGAAATACCACCATGTGAACAGGAAAAGTGCCCTCCTGAAATGGGGCATGAGTTGAGGTGGCTGGGGGTACAGTTTTTCGCATTGCCTGGTGGAATAGCTGCTATGTACCTTAAATGGCTGGAGGGGGAGGAGAAAGTAATTATTTGTGAAACTTTGGTAAATACCTGTCCATAGAGTGGCTGCATTTTAGGTTCTAAGTGGTTCTCTTTTAAAATCGTCAATATGCTACTGACAGGAAAAATAATATTTTTCCAGAAACAGATTTGAAAATGAAATGTCGGCCTGCGTGTTTCACTGTGAGTTTGCACAGCAGTGTCCTGTGACACCTGGGCATAGGGATTCCCCGGTAAGGGAGTGCAGGCACAGGTGGCAGGTACTGGGGTCATGTTCCCAGGTCTTGATGAGTCCATGCCACAGACTCCCAGAGTGCTGATGCAGGAGCCTGCAGTACAGTTCTTAAACATGCTTCTCATGGGAGAAGTGGTATGCATCACTGGACAACTAGAAATGAATGAGTGCATGAGATGGTGTGCTCTGCTTCTGGTGTGAATCTTAAGCTTCTTTCAGTTCAAAGTCCTTCAAAGCAGTAGGGACCACAGAAGTCTGTTGAGTTACAGAACCTAGTTCCGTGGAAACTATCTTTCTATGAAGTATTTTCTCTGCCTCGTAAAGAAAGGGCAGAAACTGCTGGATACCTAAGCTACACATTTATTGTAGTGGGAGCAATGTCTTCAGTGGGAGTATTGTCTCTTAAATTGATACACAAGAGCAAAATTACATATTTTTAATGAAATTGTGCTCACCTTTTAATTGGGTGATAAAGTGTGAGCAGGTTGGCTGGCAGAAAGCTATTCCCAAAGACAGAACAGAGTGAGTGTGTTGTTCTTCCCAGGGAAACAATAGGCTTATGTATTCTACCACAATGGAAAATGTTACAAAAACGTTCAAAGGCTGTGCTGCAGGAAGTGAGGTTAACTGAGAACACATTTAGTCCTTCAGTTGATTGGGATATGCAGACTAGTCTTAAAAATTGTGTGTTTAATCAGCTTGCCTTCAGAATTTCAGACAATGCTTGACAATTGAAGAAGATACAGTCTACAGCACAGAATCACAGAATATTAGGAGTTGGAAAGGACCTCGAAAGGTCTGTAGTTCCCCAGGTCTTCCTTCCAGCCCTTCCTGTAGATGAGCATCATGTTTGCAAGCCTCCGGTCAGCTGGGACCTCCCCAGTCAGCCAGGACTGTTGGTAAATAATGGAAAGTGGCTTGGCAAGCACATCACCTTAAAAAAAGCAATGCTCTTTGTGGAGGTGCACTGTTAAGAACCCATCAGTATTTAAATTTGCCAGTTGAAAATTTGTCAGTCTGTTTAATTGAAAGACTAAAATAATTTGAATCCTCTGTAATAAACTCTGCTGTTCCTCAGAGTGAGCTGGAAGTCTCCTGAGGTTTCAGAACAGGGAGAAAATCTGGAGGATCTGTATCAGACTGGGAAACTTGCAGGTGGTGTAGGCACATTTAAAGTTTAAACCATTTGAAGGTACGGTGCAGAACTTCATTGTTCAGTGTAGTTTAGGTGAATGATGAATATTTTTAAAAGTGTTTCTACAATCCTAGTTGACTGTCATGAGCAAAGACTTTTAGCAAGGCTTTGCCTCTTGAGTAGCATAGCCTATTTTATAAAATAGTCCAGGCAAGTGCTCAAGAAAACAGTAGATGTGACACCGCAGTGAGTACTGACTGAGGAAAATGTGTTAATTGTCTATATCTAAAGATGAATTTGCTTATAGAGCAAAAAGGAATAATACTGACAAACCCAGTGTCAGCCTTTCACTGTGAGAACCGGGCAAGAGCACAATTTTCTTCCTTTAAACCCTGTTCCAAATTGATAGTATATTGTCTTTTAACATTCTCAAGAGAATGAAATATGTGTGTGGGGTTCTTTAGTTTCTATTGTTTACACAAATATCAACCCTCATGGTATTGCTTTTCCAGTTGTACTGAGGGTGAGCTGTATTTGAAAATAGCAAGCCTTCAGGACAGCTTAAGTAACAATAGCTTTTCAAAAATTTTAGCTGAGTTTTTCCCTTTTGACCTTGAGATGTATTTAACTCATTTTTCCTGAATTCGTCTACTGGTTCTAATCACTGTGTTCTCTAAAAGTAAAAATGAAAGACTTTTGACCAAAGAACTTGTGGTGTTTGTCCTTATGTGAGTTGTAGTTAATTTACAGGAATGAGAAGGAATGATCTGTCCTGCTTTGTGTTTCAACAATCAAATGAACTATCCAAAGCTTAAAATAAAAATAATAGATTTTGCTTAGGAAAAACCATCTGAAAATAATTTTAATTGTGTGATTCCAAATATACTCAATTTGTTATTGAGTTATCAAATTCTGCTCATTTTTATTTTGGATGGGTATTGTTTTACTGGTTTTACTGTAAAACTTTCAGTATTGCTTGTAAGAGTGCATTATAAGTGATTGGTTCAATTTAGGTTCTGAAGTCTCATGCGCACAAGTTTATTGTATTAAAGTTACTACATTTTTTTAAAATGAAATCACTTGGTATGTCCAGTGAGAAGAGTTGGTTTCATAATTGACACCTGTTTCCTTGAAAGCTTATTCTGTGCTATAAATCAGTCTTCTGATAAGGGAGTGGTATAAATTTAATGCAGATTTTTTTAAACTCACATTTTATCTGCAAACACTTGTTTTAAAGGATAACAGTTCTTAATTTACATTCCAGTTTTTTCCACAGTAAAGCCTGTTTCCCTGTCTTGCAATTTTTGTTTTGCAAAAACTTAATATGATTCCTGTATTGATTATCAGTTCCATGCTAGTAACACCTCCATCTAATAAGTGGTTTTACATTGCTCAATAAGGCCCTTAGCATATTATGTAAATGTTCATGTGGATTAGTAATGACTTTCACAGATGGTAGACACTGTAGCCGCTGTATCGCCTAATTATGATATCTACCTATACCTAGTTGTATTTTATTTTTCACGTCTGGGAAGTAATTTTTCCTTACCTTATATAGGCATCCAACTGAAAAAAGACGTGAGAACGTCCTGAGAAAAGGCACTGGTGCAGTAGAATGCATTTCCTTTGCGTGTTGCTGTAATAATTAGTCAATTCTAATCCCAACGTGAATTTAAGGACACTTTTTAAGGAGCAGGGTAGACTTACAGCTTTTTTGACACAGGAAAATATATTTGGGATAGTCATTTAAATGTGTTGCATTTGTAAGTGAATTCCACTGCTGTTACACCCCTACATAAAAAATATTTTTCTCTTTATAGAACTGACAGTGCATCAGCTGACCAGGACAATTTAAAATACTCTTCATCCAGAGATCGGGGCAGTTCTGCCTCCTATGGATTACAACCCTCAAATTCAGCTGTGGTGTCTCGACAAAGACACGATGATATCAGAGTCCACACTGACATACAGAATGAAGAAAAAGGTATACAGATTGCTGTTTTGTGTGTAAATTGAGGCGACACTCAAGAGCAAGGCAGTGAACTTGAAATGGCGAAGAATTCTGCTCCCCCCGCCCCCCGCCCAAAAAAAGGGGCAGTGAACCTCTACAACTCATTGCCACAGTGTCACTGTGTTCAGAGATTTATCAGGGATCAGAGATGTTGTGTTTGATTTGAACAGTGAGAAAAATATGCAGTTGCATTAGGAATAGACTGTAAGAGAAGACTTAATGCTGTAACAGAATAAACACTTTTTCCTAAAGCATAGTATTCTGGATGCTTCTGGTCCACAAGTTGTATTTTTTCCTGAATACTGTCTAGTGCTTCTGGTATTGAAAATGGGCCACCTGATTAAATGGCCCGCTAATCTGATATAGTATCTATTGCAGCTTCACTGCAGCAAACTGGAATCTTTGGGAATTGAATCTATATTTTGTCATTAATGGTGTTTTCTGTTTCTGTGTGCCTTAGTCTGACCAAATCAGTTGTGTAATGTATGGTTCATATAAGTTTTTTTGTTTCTTTTTTTTTAATGGGAATACTTTCTCTAGAAAATAGATAAAATTGAGAAGAATATCTTTTTTTATATTTATGAAAAAGAAATCTGTATTCTGCTATTTTTTTTAAATTGCAAAATACAGGTATCAAATAGGAGGAAACCTTCTTCAGTCAGTCAGACCAGACTCAAAAAAAAAACCCAACCAAACTCACAGGAATATTAGTGTGGGAGTTTCTGTTCAGGAACCTAAAAACCATTCATGCTTCCCCTACTTCTCTGCCCTGTAACCATAAAGAATACTACATCTCAAGGGAAGTTACAGCTGGGTGTGCTGATGCAAATTTGGGGTTTTTTTATAAGTAGTATGTACTGTTAGTAGGAGGCAGGAGCATGAAACAGCTATTTATCTGCATACCTGGAGGATCTTAAGATTTGGTTAATTTAAACAGAGAAACTGCTTAGAAAGTGCTTAGAAAGTGAGCATGTTTGTTAGTGTGTCTGCTAATATGGAGAGTTTTACTGTGTTTCACATGGACTGGCCTAGTAGATTATGCTTCTATGTTAAAGTGCACTAGTATTAAAGAATGTACTGGCAGCATGGTGAAATAATAAGTTTTGGACAAATTCAGAAAGGTATTTGTGAAGTTGCTAGAAAAATGCACCTACCTCTCCCTCAAGTACTGTGTCTCACGGGGCATGCCTTTGTTAGCTCAACACTTCATGCTGTTTTGTTCTGCTGTGACTTGCAAAGAGATGATTAGAATATTCTGTACTATAAAACCCAAATCCCAAGTATCTCTGGTTAGTTTTTATTTTTGGTTAAATTTGTGAGGTTACAGATGCAGAACAGTTTCTGTGTTTACAGAAATTTTTCAGTTAATCTGTTGGAGTCTACCCGCATGGATTTTTCACTTTAAGAAATTAAAAGTTTTCTGCCCTGGATAACCATATGTGATAAGTACCTAGAATCCTCGAGAAGATATTACCCCCTATACCCAGTTTCTGGTGTTGATACTAAAAATGACTTCCAACTTGTGTTTTTCTGGAAGTTGTTCAGATTTGAAAACCTTGACACACGGAAGGTTCTGCAGTTTCCCTTAGCAGCCTGTTCAGTGCTTTACAACTCTCCTGGTACATAATTGTTTCCTGATAACCGGTTTGAATTTCCCATGCTGCAACTGATGACTGTTGACTCCTGTCCTTTTGCTTTTGCTATGCATCTGTAAGATTAGTTTGTCCTGTTTGTTTGTTTCTTTGTTTTATAACAACCCTTCACATTAATTAGTCGAAGACTACAATTACATCTCTCCGCTTTGTCTTCTCTCCTTTACTTTATAAAACAATAAAGGTGAGTTTGCAGATTTAAGTTTATAAAACTGAATAAAAGGCTCCTAGGTTTTTACTTAGAGATGTGATGGTCTCTGTTCCTGCAGCATTTTCCTCCTTTTTGATTTGTAGTTGTTGATTCCTGCTGAAAGGATACTGCACTAGTATTCATGTGTCATGGTATCTGCATCTTTATGCTAAAACTAGTAACAGTGACATTACTCTAAATTACATTTTGTGTCATATTGTTACCCAAGCTGTACCATCTGTATGTCAGGTGGGAGAATTCAGGTTTGTGTTGAATTTATTTAGGATAATGTCAAATATGCTGTAGCAAATGCTAAATGCTTTTGCAGACAACCAAAAAAGCTGGGGCTTTTTGTGTGCTAGAGGGAAAGTATGAAATAACTTTAAGAACTCCATTATTTGATGGTTCATGTTTGTGGTCTTTATGCATCATTATGTGACATATTCAGTTAAATTAATTTATTTGTTGCTTTGAATTTTAGTTACACGCTTCTGCTTAGTCATAAATATAATGATTGCTGTTAGAAGTAATTTCCTTCATAGGACAGTGTTGGTTTGTTATGACAAAATAATGTTAAGGTGACAGATAGACTTGTTTATGCTTAAGCCTTCAGTTTAATGTTGTAAATCCAAATATACACAAATTATCTTTACTGTAGTTGTAATGAACTAATTACAACAGAGACTGCACGGGATTTTCTATAACAGTAGGGTAGCCCTGTGTGTATAGAAATACACAAAGTAATTCACAGCTGCTTTTTATCACAAGCTTTGCCTTCAAGATGGCTTTCTTTACATCTACTAAAATTCAGATTCACCTTCAAGTTTGAACTTTTTCATTCATCCTGTAGTCTCGGTAGGCTGCCTTTTTTATGGAGAGCCATCTCTCCTTTTCCCCAGGCTTCCTTTAATACAGTGATGCAGGTGGATTTGTGGAAATACCTTTTCTAAAAGAAATCTTGCATGTCTTTTATTGTTCTGGGTTTAAATTTATTAGTTGATTCTTCCCTGTCACAGGCAGGGAAGGTACTTTAGAAAGCTGCCTGCACAGCTGCCTCAAAAGTGAGCCATAATACTTTGAATAAAGTATTGGGCAGGCTCAGAGGACAATTTCACTTAAAATAACACTTTTGTTTCTGTTTTATATTGTTATCAAAGATGTACCAAGTGGGAGAATGTAGGATTGAGTTTAATTAATTTAAGATAAAGTCAGTATTAGCGTGTGAAAATAGCGACTGTTGTATGTTTAGAGAGAGTTGTTCAGTCTGTACATAAATAATCTGTGGCTTTTTAAAAGATGTGACCTGGAAACTTACAGGGCATCATAAAATGTTTTTGCATGTGAAAGTGAATAAGGAAGCTGAAGAAGGTGGTAGAGGTCAGGGCTGCTAATTTCCTTATGACTTGAATAACTCATAACGTACCAGCCTACTAAATAATACATGGTCTGACAGCTTGTTATAATCCCGTGTTGTGTCTTCCACAGGTGGCTACAGTGTCAATGGAGGATCTGGGGAAAATACTTATGGTCGGAAGTCGTTGGGGCAAGAGCTGAGAGTTAACAATGTGACCAATCCTGATTTTACCAGTGTTCCGCATGGGAATCGTGCTTTAGCCACAAAAGACATGAGGAAATCACAGGGTAAGGATCCCATGGATTTTCAGGAAAAGACGATCTCTCTTGACAACTTTTATTGTGTTAAGTTCACTGCAATTAGGCGATCTTTATGGATTTTATTTTTTGGTGATACACAATTAGATGATGTTGATGGAAACTCATCTTGTATTTACTGTTCCCTGCATTGAGACTTTCTCCATATGTTAGGTAGATCTCTCGACTATATGACTTATGCTGTCAGTCTTTCAGTTTCCTTTAAATAGCATTTGAACTCTTGTTAAGGTTAGCCATATTTGGCAAAGAGGCCTTGACAGGCCTCCAAGATGAAGAATTTGCGCTTAGATTTGTTGAAAATTGATGCCTGGGTAAAAAGTTGTTAATTAACAAGTACCTAGTGCAGGAAAACCCGCAACAGTGAGCTCAACCGTTATCTGTTCTCACTGGCCTGCAGGTCAACGAGTCGTCGCATCATACCAGCTGCTTAGTCAGTAGGTGTGTACTCCTCAACCAGCCATAATTCATGCTTCCTCTTGCTCAGCTGAGGATTAGAAGTCGTGGAAGAACTGAAAGCATCATAAGAATGTGGGCAAGGTCTTGGGAAAAGCAGCAAATGCAGGAAATCAGGAGTTGTAAGAGGCTGTAAGAATGGGCACACACTTTTGAAAAAGAAGGCTTCGCTTATCATGCTATTTGGGTTTAAATCATAGCTTCTTGTGGTTTTTTTTAAAGAGAAAGTTATTCCAAGGACTTTTGAATGAAAATAGAAACTTTGTTATGACTAAGCACTGTCATTTGTTATATCACTTAGTATAAGTGGTAGTTGAGCCACCAAAAAAACCTGTGACTGCTTTATGCCAGTCATGCTATAAACATTTGAGGACATGGTGTTTCTGCTCATGTGTTGGAGGAGATATAAGGTAAAGGAAGAGTATTCAGTGTGATTTGCAGGTGGAAGAACTGAAGTGCAAGTGATGACGTGACTGTTGCGAAAGCCTGATCTTTGAAATGGGTTAAACTGAGACTTTATAATACCATTGATATAAAAATGTAGTGCTTTTAGTGTCTTAAATTATGTCTATGGAGAGGAAATAGAGACTTGTCTAATAGAGAACTCTGTGTAAATAATATTTCTGATAGTGGTCTTGTGCGTGAATTTGCTATTGGTTAGTACTGGCAGAAAGTTCAGACAGTTCTAGGTATGTGAGCACTTCCTTAATCCTTAAAATGTTAGAAACTATAATTCTGGATGACTGAAGTCTTTGCCTATGATTGATTTGCTTATGTGCATGTTCTGTTTTCTAGAGTTGGATTTCAAGAGTTTCTCCTTTTTAACTGGGCTGTCTTTGTGATTGTTGTAGGCTTCACCAAATATTTTTGATTTTTCATATCTTCAAAATACAGTGGGATTATGTTGCAACAGGATCTTATTTTAAAAAATCTTTTATTTTCTTGTTTGTTAGTGTGTGTATTAAGCAATTTTTAAAATAGTTGTCTTAATAATTTTCAGTGTTTTCCAAACCACTGCATCCTGGTTTGCCCCTCAAGAGCAGTATCTGGCAGCCTGACCTAGCTGTGCTGTTGTAGCTGCCCGTGTGCTTGCTGAATGACAGAGATCAGTGCAAAGTGGGAATGACAGAAGTGATGTGTACTGTGTGTTCCTGGTGCAGGTTAGTGTTGGTTGAGTGCAACTGTAGGAATATTGTAGAATAGAGTTCTTTCTCTCTCATGAGGCACATCTGTTGTCTTGGAAAGGACTGTATTACAGGGTAGCCAATGCAATTACTCAAGGACAGATTCAAATTGCTGTTTTGAGAGGCTTTGTATGTAGACAGTCTAATAGTGAAATAAGTGTGTGTGGATTTGGTTCAGTTTAAGCTTTCAAGATACTCTAGAACATAGCACTTTCCTGGCAGAAGAGTTTTCATGTGGAATTATTCATGAATAGCAGTTAGACTGTTTATTCTGTGTACTATAGCCTGTGTTAATTTCCATTGTAACCAAGCTTTAAAAGAACTTCCATTCTTGTTTGCATATGTTTTGCTTCTGAACTATTCCATTTGAGCTTTAAAAAATTTTTTTCCCTAGTCTGGTGACCTTCTACTACTGCCCATGTTTTAAAAAAAATGGTAGACGTGGTACATCCCTGTGCAGACTGCATTCTTCCAGTAGTCCCTTTCTTTCTTCTCCAGGTCTGATCAGACTTTTTTGGTAACCACTCTAGGTCCATCTTTCTAAAGTTTGGCTGTGCATTGACATTGGCAGACGAGTCCTGGACTACATGTGCTAGCTCAGCTCTGGACAGAAATACAAGTTGATCTTCAAATGCAAGTGATCATTTAGCAGGGATTGTTGTTCTTAGTCTGACACCATCACTCAGGAAGACCTCAGATACTGCTTCTGAAGATGTCTTTATTGGTCATGATTCCTTGTATGTTTTTCGCCTGACATTTGGCTTTTCATCCACTACTTAAGACTGTGGTTTCCTAATAAAGCAAAGGAAAAGAAACTTAATTCTTCCTAAATGTGTATGTGTACTTTAGTCTTCTCTAAACTAGTGACATCTTAAAACAAGTACTCTTCATGCCTGTCAGATAACATCTCAACACATCTTGTGTAGTTGTTCTAGCTAGGAACAAAACATAGATTTGTTCCTTCAGACTCTCATTGCTGTTTTAATGTTTGCTAAGCCTGCCTAATCCTTCAGAATGTCAGGTGTCTTCAAAATTAATTCCTTAAATTGATGCCTAGCGAGGAACAGATTATCAAAGCCTATATTATTCATACTCTCCTTTAAAATTCAAAAAAAGGAAGTAATGAAAATAAAGTTGAGAACATTCTTCATTACTGTAATACAGAAGACATGCTCTTCTGTAGATGGTATCATGACCTATTAGAATTACTGGCTTGTGGATGGGTTCATAGGATTCTGTAAAGCACAAGTACACAAAGGTTTTTGTTTCTTAAATTTCTTCAAAAAGTTGCTTTACTAGTGGTAATTTGTAGTAAGTATATACTTATGATGAATTACTTATATGCATACCTATATATTACTCAAAGTGTTACTGTTATGGCACTTGCCAGACTTCTCCCAGGAGTGGGACAAATTGTTGACAGTTTTGCTTCAAAGATGATCTGCATCACAGAGCCTGGAGTCAGCCAGGCATCCCCAGCAAGGCTCTGGCCTGTCCAGGAGATCTATGTAGTGAAATCTTTGCAGGAGGAGCTTTCGGAAAGAAGCTGCATTTTGGGTAGAAAGCAAGTTATTTTTGTATTGTTAGAGACATAAGGAGATGTAGGAGATAACTGCCTGGAGCCACCAGTAGCTTTTACTGACTACTGTTTTTCACCTGGAACAGCCGGGCTGTTAGATGAGAGCTGTTTTCTATTTATCAGACCAATGTTTGCTTTCCCAGTGTGTTTTTCTGGCAAGAGCAGCCAATAGCCATTGAAGATTCCTGATTTCCCAGGATGTTTCCACCATTTCAGTCTGCTTTTCACCTTTCCAGACAATAACTTTGTTGTTACACTTGATAAGTGCAAACCAAAAAAAGCGGCATCTTGGGATGTCTCAGGTTCTTGGATACCCAGCTGCCCTTCAAGGATGCTCCAGGTTCTCAGGCTGGCAGGCATCACTTTCTGTCAGGATTTTTCCATTACAACCTTCCCATTATAACCAGGTTACCTTTATGGCTGCTCCCATTAGATGACTGATGGGTAACATAGCAGAGAAAAAAAAAAATTAAGTCATGGTGACTAAGAAGACCTCATCGTGCTCCATGAATCCTCTATAATTTAAATCACCATGAAAATCTAATGTTAAACTTTTCAAAAGATACTTTGTTTCCTTTTTGCAAATGAGGGAAATAATTCATATTATTTCATTGTAATTGGTACTAAGGTACTACAGGTAAACTGTGTTGTGACTTTCACTGGTATCAATAGTGTTCATTAATAGTGGTCAACTTAAATGAAATGTTTTTTTAGGAAGATGCTACTTTCCTGTATTATGAGCCACTTAAATCAGTAGCCACTGCACCTCTGCAGTTTATACGTTTGTTCCTCAATAGAGTCAGAGGAGGTCTGTTTTTCTTTTCAAAACAGAATGCTGCTAGCTATCAGAGGGCTATTCATAATCTTTCTTCTTGTGCCAAAATCGTAGAGAAAATCTTGTTTCTTGATAGCTGCTTGAGCTTGAATCTGGTTCTGTTTCAAGAAGCAGCTTGTTTTTTCCACAAGTTTTTCTTTGACTACTATTTGTTGAATTATTTCTGTTTATGTATTCAGTCAGAAGTCTGATTAAACCTTACCACACCCCTTTATATTGATTTATGTAGAAAGAAACTGAATCCATGTTTTTAGGTAGAACAGTTCTTAGTTCTGAATGAGTTCTACCCAAGTACTGGCTGTCCACTGGAAGAAATAAAATATTTTGGTTGCTAAATGAGATTTTACATTTCGTTTTTCTCATGATATCTTTAAAACAAATCTGGAATTTATTTTTTTGAAACTTTTTTTTCTCAAATTGTTATTATGACAAGTAATAATTAGTGCTTTGGACAATGCAGATGTTGATCAAATGCTGTAGAGAAAATAAGTAATTACCTTTTCTTTTTCAGAGCGATCATTGTCTTATTCTGACGAGTCTCGACTGTCAAATCTTCTTCGGAGGATTACTCGGGAAGACGACAGAGACCGAAGACTGGCTACTGTAAAGCAATTGAAAGAATTCATTCAGCAACCAGAAAACAAACTGGTTAGTATTTCTTTTTCTTTTCCATAGCACGGAAGTATTTATCGTTTAATAAAACTGTCTTTTTAAAAATCTGAGTATTGGGATATGTCTGTGAGGAATATCTTGTATACAAGTAATTTTCTTCCACAATATGTGTCTATCTCTATTCATAGGAAGTTGGTTCATTCTCTCATTATACATTAATTAATCAGTTCTAATTGTGCTCTTTTCCAAAAGACATGACACTTAAACATGACACTTAATACTTCAGATTGTATTATCTGATCAGTTAAATTTTCTGCTGATACAATTATTAGTGTAGGAGGCTAGGTCTTCAGTAGACACTACTGATGAGCTGTATGATGAATCTTACGTTTGTGATGTAATGTTATCAGCCAGAACTAAACTTAGAACAAAGCTTGACAGCAGGCTGCCAGTGTATTTCTGTGGCTACTGTAAATAAATATGAAATATAACGTGTAGGATAATATTGCAGTATTGCTTAATATAGTTCATGCTGGTCTGCAGCGGCCATGGAAAGCATAATAGCATCCTGTTAGCAAACAGAATTAGCAGCAATGGTTTTAATGCTGGTGTAAACAAGACCTAGTTTGCAGAAGTTATTGTGCTGTTATTACGCGTATGCCTTTTATGTATCTTGTATTATAGGTACTAGTTAAACAACTGGATAATATCCTGACTGCCATTCATGATGTACTCAATGAAAGGTAAGGTGGAAAAACTAAGCAGTTTTAAGGCTTTGAAAAGGAAATAATGACAGCATTAGGTTTGGATTTAAATATAGAAATGGAATGGAGGGAGGAGAGGTTGAAAGAAATAAATTCACGAATTTTTCATGGATGTGACAAATTGCAGTAACAGCATGGAACTGGGGAAGAGTTAAGACTCTTGGGCATATCAGCAGTACTGTTAGACTGTCTAGAGTGCACTTCACATGAAGAGAATTTGAATGCACAAGTGTGCCTTTTATGCTGTAGGTAATAGGAGGTCTCTCAGCTGTGATCAATCATCTAGGTGTAGTAGTACACTGCTGTGGCTGTCTAGCTTGCAAATGGAACTTAAGTTTTTTTACAACCTGATGTAATTCATTTACATTCAACTAAGAACATATGTAGAGGGACCTCAGGTGTATAGGGGCTTCTGTGTGTTTAGTTCAGTGTTTATTACCCAAAGTCAGCTGTATGATAAGACTTTTCCTCCGTGGATAGTGTGTTGCAAGTAGATTGGCCTGTTTATTGCATACTTTTATTGAACTTGATTTACTCAATAGAAATAATATTTCATAGATTTTTCAGATAAAATTTTTATCTTTGCTTCATCTCTGTTGCCATTAAGTAGGAGAGAAGCAGCTTCATTCATGCATATATTTTTCTGCTTTAGGAAGTGTTTTAATTTGTTCATGGTTTATTCTGTTCTGCTCTCATGTCTGGAGATTACACATTTCTTTTTTTTCTCCCCAAAAATACAGTAGCAAATTGCTTCAAGAACTGAGACAGGAAGGAGCTTGCTGTCTTGGCCTTCTTTGTGCTTCTCTGAGCTACGAGGCTGAGAAGATCTTCAAATGGATTTTTAGCAAATTCAGCTCATCCACAAAAGATGAAGTTAAACTTCTTTATTTGTGTGCAACCTACAAAGCGCTAGAGACTGTAGGAGAAAAGAAAGCCTTTTCATCTTTAATGCAGGTAAAACTACAAGTTAAAACCAGAATACTAGTGATTTTTCCAGTGCAATACTTGAATCAACTTTTTAAACTGGAATGAACAATAAGTAATGCTATGTTTACATAATAAGTAAACTTGTGACATAATAACTAAAATAGCAGCAACTGGGAGGGAGCTTTCTGTCTTATTGAGATTCTTTGATTCTGATCACACTAGGAGGGAATATGAAGTCTTTGTAGGATGATACATATTTTGCTGCTACTTTTTAGTATATGTTGCAGGTCCAAGATGAAGAATCTTGTTGAGACCAAAAAGAGAACTCAATTAGATTGGTACACAAAACCCAACCTGTTGATTGTTTTGTGCTAGCTCCTATTTACAATTTCTGACTTGACTTGTAATTAGATCTGAGAGGGAGTAGGATATGTGCAGGCAAATCTGGATCCCTGATTCACATTTTAGGATCTGTTTTTTCGGTGTAGAACCTGTTGTTCAGGTCTGTGTCCAGTTTAATATTTACTTTACAGAGCCAAAAAACTTCAGCAGGGGAAGAAGAAACTTAAAATAACCGCTTGTTCAGTGGCTAAAGGGTTAAATAAAACAGTATCCCCAAACCTTGAACCTGGGTCTGCCGTATCTCAAGCAAATGCCTAATTGAAATGATTCTTTTCCTGCAATGTATGTGATGCTCTTTACAGTTTTCTTCCCTGCAAAAAGTATTGAGATGTTTCTGTTGCTTGAATCAAAGTAGTTTGCTAGAAAGTGCTCAACACTGAATAATTCTCTGTGTGTCTGAAATAATAACTTTTTCATGTGTTGTTTAAATAAGTGAAATGTCTAGTGGCTTTTCTTTACTTTTTAGCTTGTAATGACCAGCCTGCAGTCCATTCTAGAAAATGTGGATACACCAGAGTTACTGTGCAAATGTGTCAAGTGCATCCTTTTGGTGTCCCGATGCTACCCACACATTTTCAGCACCAATTTTAGGGTAAGCTTACTTTGTCCTCTGTATTTTTTTTCTTGTATAGAAATCTTGGTGCAGCATATTGGGTAATTAACCTTTTCTCAAACTTGCTTTCCAGGACACAGTGGACATACTGGTTGGGTGGCATATTGATCACACTCAGAAACCTTCACTGACGCAACAGGTATCTGGTAAGTTTGGCTAGAGAGTCATTAATGTAGTCCGCTCTGGCTTGCAGGTGATGTGGGTTCACTTGCAAAAGTCTGGTCCTGCTGACATGGAAGTTGTCGTAAATCCAGAATGAGTTTCTGGCTACGTAACAAGATTTTGCTCCTAATTTTTTAGTAAATTTGCCTTTGCCATTTTATGCTATGTATGGAAAAATGAGATACTATATTCAGGCTACATTCAAACACTGATATTTTTGTCTATCTTTTTAACAATTTATAGTAATTTATATGTCTTAATATATTCTTTGTGAAAGAATGTATTTTCTTCTGTGTACTTCTAGAAAATGTTTGTGGTAATGATACCGTACTGACATTTAAGAAATTGGGAAACTCCTTCCTATAGCTGTAGCAGTTGTCCTGGAGTTATTCCTGGCAAGTCTGTTATGTTTCCTGTGTCATAGTCCTAGATTCTGTCCTTTATGCTTAACTCCTGGAGGGCATGACTGAACCTTAAAATTAATTTGTCAAAGGGACAGAAGAGGGAAATAAAATTTATATTTATTTTAAAAACAATTATTTTAAAATTTTCATGCAGATGACCTTCTCTTACCTTAGCAACTTTTACCTTGGCAATATGCGACTAAAATTTTCATGTTTTCTTGTTGTAATTGCCTTGCTGTTCTTATACAGGATGGCTGCAGAGCTTGGAGCCCTTTTGGGTGGCTGATCTTACTTTTTCTACCACACTCTTGGGTCAGTTTTTAGAAGATATGGAAGCTTATGCTGAGGTAAACAAGACTTTATGCTAGAGTTGGTTGTTGTGGATTTCTTAATAAGTCCACAGCTGTGATTCTTATGGATGTGTTACATTTGTAGAAAATAAAGTTACATGGTTTTCCTGGGGAAAAGAGGATCAAATTACACAATATACTTAAACCTGTGCAATGACAATTCTATACAAATCCTCATGAACTACTTAAATAGTATCATAGCCAAGCTTTCAGCTTTTGTCATTGAGAATATAGTGTTGTAATAAAAATAAAAACAACTAGCCAAACAAGAATGCCTTCATTTTTAAAAGGCTGCAGTGAAGATGTTTCATCGTCTTTCCTTGGTGTTTTCTTCAATTGTCCAACTTCATTAGCAGTGACTATTGGGGGAGGATTCTTAAGGCTTCTGGAGATGAATGGTAAATCTTTTTAAATAAAGCAGCGGATTATATCGTGCAGGAAATAATGCAGCAAGGACTAATAGAAAACGAAAACATATTAATTTATTCTTTGTTTTGACTTTGTAACCTTTGCTTAGTTAAAGGGGCATAGAGTTTATCCGAAGCTGTCATTAAAGGAAGAGTTCTGTTTTTGGGAAGGGAGTGTTGCACTTTTCTTAACGTGTATGTGCTCTTATGTATATATGCTTATAACTAGTTTGTACTTTATTATATATGTTAACATGTAGGTCCTGTAGGTGAAACTGTACTTCCAGCATAATCTGTATCATTCAGAGCAGAATAAATAATTTGATTTTATTAGTGTACTTACATGTACACCAAGACTTGTAGTGGTGCAGCTTTAAGAGTAAAGATTTACAGAGCTCTTTGGCAATGTCAAGCCCACAGAAACCTGCACTGCTGTGACTGTAGGCACGCAATTGAAAGTGATTAGTCAGTGCAGTAAGTCGCTGCTTATCAGCTTGTCTGCTGAGCTGGACAGTGTGTGTATTCTTAGTCACGGAAGTTTTAAGATAACGTGTTAACTTATATCATGGAGGAGGTGGTTCCAGCTAGTGTGTTTTTATCTCGCAGTGGGGTAGACTAGGTCTATATCCATACTAATGAGATCAGCACTTCTGGGAATGTTCCCAGGCACTGCTGCCAGCTGGCATGAAGTAGCATGCTAGTAAACTCATGGTCTCTAGATCAAGGTAGCTGCATGTAAACAGTGTGATGCAAATGGCCACTCAAACATCCTGACTCCAATTTGTGGCTGGGAATTGATTAGGAGAGTGGTAAAACGCGCAGATAAGTGTAACAGTGCAGCAACGTGGATACCCATGTTCCAGGGGCCAGGAACATCGTAAGACTCCGTTTTAATTTGCAAGATAGAGTCTGAGTACTCAGTTTCAGTGGATATGCTGATCAGCAGCAGCTCATTACTGCTCTGTGACTTGCTCATCATCACTGTGTGCCTATATCCCATCTTCATACCTATGTGAAGTTAGACATACTGAATAATTATGTCTATAATTAGATATTATCTATAGTATGTCTGGAAGATAAAGTATTTTCAGTCTCATATTTTGATCTTTTATGCAAGTATTATGATTGTTAATGATGTGTACTGATATAGAAAACTTCTGTGTTGTAGGACCTCAGCCATGTGGCTTCTGGGGAATCAGTAGATGAAGATATTCCTCCTCCTTCAGTGTCACTACCTAAATTGGCTGCACTTCTTCGGGTTTTCAGTACTGTGGTGAGGAGTATTGGGGAACGCTTCAGCCCAATTAGAGGACCACCAATTACAGAAGCATATGTAACTGATGTAAGAATTAAATGTTTTCTTTTTGTTTTTCTTTGTTGCTGGCATGATTTTTGTTCACTGAGTTTATTTAGGTTTTGTGAATTTTACATGATATATGCTCAGCTTTGAGCCAGTGTATTTTCTTGAAGAAATACGCTACAAGAACTTTATTAAATACTGAAGTGTAGATTGCGATAGTGGCACATAAAAGTTCTGTAGCAGAAACTAACTTTTTTCAGGCATTTTTAATTCATATGGGTAGACTTATGCTTGTGATCACTCTTGATAACCATAATATTACAGTTTATCCAGATTGCTGTGAGGGAGGCTATAAAAACTGAATTCAAATGATAAGTTTGATTTTTATAAAATGTAGGTTTTTATGTGTGCTGGAGTTGTATCTGTCAAATCTGACAGCAAAGTCATCTTGTTCTAGAGAATAGTGTAGGATGGTGTATACTCAGAATAAATATTATATAGTATACTAAGTAGCTGCTATACTTCTGTAACAGGAACTGTAGAGGGTGAGAATTATTTAAAAAACAAAACAACAAACAAACAAAAATCCCCAGACAGTCCTACAGTCAAAATCTTGTTGCTGCATGAGCTGCACAACTGGAATTTATACCCCTGCAGAGTTCTATGAGGGACAAAACTTCTCGGATAAATAAGTGTATGGATTTCCCAATTAAAGCCAAGACAGTTTTTTAACTTCTGTCTTAATCTGCAGAGGATTCTTGTGAAAAAATCTCAAGAAAAGAAAGCTAATCTGTCTTTTACAAGAGGAGTTCTCTTTATCAGTTGGAACTGAGCAGAATTGTGAATAATGGGTTCAGGTTTACTAGGTCTTTGCAGGTCTTTGAGCAGGTAACCAGGCAATTGAAGGTTTGCTTTTTCTTAATACTTGTGAATTGTAATGCTGTGATGTGCGTTATTCAGAATATTCTATTGACGGAATTAACCAAACTGCAGAGTAGGTGATGGGACAGGATATCAGATGGATGTTAATATAATTAAAGAGTACGCAGTCCTTGTTTCTTTTTAGTGGAGTTTAATTTAGGTGTGTTTTTAATTTTCCAGGTTCTGTACAGAGTAATGAGATGCGTGACTGCTGCAAACCAAGTATTCTTTTCTGAAGCCGTACTTACTGCTGCCAATGAGTGTGTTGGTGTTTTACTTGGCAGCCTAGATCCAAGTATGACCATACACTGTGACATGGTCATCACATATGGATTAGATCAAATGGAAAATTGTCAGACTTGTGGCACTGATTATATAATTTCAGTCCTGAATCTGTTGACGCTGGTTTGTACATATTTTTATTGTTGTGTTTTCCCCATTGGAAAATATTAGTTTCTAAGCAACCTTGGGTTTTTATGTGTATTAGATAAATATTTACAACTCTTCCTGATCACAAACAAGCAATTCCTCTTCTAAGTGCTTGTATTCTTTTCTGTAAAGCTTATGCTTCCAGTTTGTTTATGTCTTTCGCTTGTGGATACAATGATGTTTGGTTTTAGCCTGAGCGTTCATGTTTTGGTGTGAGGTTTTTCATTTTGGCTCTCCTTGTCTGGCTTGGCTGTGCCACTGCAGTTGATAACACCACCTGAAGAATTTCAGAATCTTAGTGCATAATATGTTGCATTTATCTACTTCTGTCATGATCTAGGAAATCGGACTTCTTCAAAACATAGCTGTTAATGTGTAGGCCACAAACTCTTAAACCTATATATATCTAAATTAATTATGAGACTTTCAGCTGTGCTGTTAAAGTGTGAAAATAACTAATTCTCTGAATGTGAATTTGGGAAAGCAAATACAAAATAGAACATCGCTAGAAGCTATTTTTTCTAAATATAGCATATACGAGCTAGAAAAACAGTATTTTAATGAATTTTTAATATGTTCTAATAAGAATTAATTCAGGTATTTAAATATATTTCTGATTTTGCTTTATCTTTAGATTGTTGAACAAATAAATACAAAACTACCATCATCGTTTGTAGAGAAATTATTTATACCAGAGTCTAAACTACTTGTTCTTCGTTATCATAAGGAAAAAGAGGTAAGAGTAGATGACTTCTGTAGGCGTATTACAACAGCCTTCAGGCATTTCTTAAAATGTATTTATTAAGCTGTAAAACTTTGTTCATCTTATATATTTTTTTCCTATCTAATTGTCTGTCTGTGAAACTTCTGAAAAGGCAGATATAGTTAGTTATTGGTTTTGACATTTAGATTTGATAAGGAAGTGGCAAGTTGGCCATCATACCAGATAGAGGAGTCCTTAGGTGATGTGGCTTTCAGACTTGGCATGTTATGTGGATGATCCAAAAAGTAATTAATATATTCTGTAAGTAGTACTTAATTGCAGAAAACTGAAGATAAGTGTGTGTATCAGTCTAGGCTATTCATATATAAAGAAGCATAATTTTAAATTCCATGTTGGTGATTAATACACTTCATGAATTTATGCTAATCAATTATTACAATGTAATTATTTTGTATTCTTAAGGTTGTTGCAGCAGCCCATGCTGTATACCAAGCTGTATTGAGCCTGAAGAACATTCCTGTTTTGGAGACTGCTTACAGGTTGATTCTAGGAGAAATGACCTGTGCTCTAAACAGTCTTCTCTATAGTTTGCATCTTCCTGATGCCTGTTCTGAAATCCAGCATGACTCTTTCAAGAAGCGTATATTCAATGTGGATAATGCAAAGTTCATTGTTATATTTGACCTCAGTGCTCTAAGTACTATTGGAAATGCTAAAAACTCATTAATTGGGGTGAGTAACAATCTACAGATAAAATTTGTGCAAATAAGTTTAAAAACACTTTCTTACTTAAAATATACCGTAATGTATTTCTTGAGAAGTGCATATATATATATAATTAAAATGGTCATATTTGTTTTCTGTCTTATGTTATATAAAAACTTCCAGTATTAAAACTTAGGGGAAACAAAATGGATGGATTGTACGTCTAGTTGGTGCATAATGAAAAGCAGTTTCTAGGGAAGAGCATCTTATCAGGGTTATTCATGGATTGATTCTAAGATTGTCATAGTAATTCTTTTTGAAGATCAAGACACATAAAAACAGCTCTGGTATGTCCTCTGGTAGTATATAAGCCATGCGAAAACACTTGTTCCAAATGTTTCGAAATAAAGGCAGACTGCTTTAACAGGTTGTTTAAAAAGGGGAAAGAAAATAGTTACAGTTAAGGTCAGAAAATTGATAGAGTTAAATTATTTCCCTTGGGGAAAAAGCAAAACAATAATAAATGGTATGGAAACTACACTTGAAAATAGATCCTATTTATGATGTTTCTTTGCTTATGTTGCAATTGTTTTATAGATGTGGGCCCTTTCGCCGACTGTGTTTGCACTACTGAGTAAAAATCTGATGGTTGTTCACGGTGACATAGCAATTCATTTTCCTGCTGTCCAGTATGCAGTACTGTATACATTATATTCACACTGCTCCAGGTATGAAGATTAATAATTCATCAGTATTTTAAGAGCACTAAGATGGACTGATCTGAATACAATATATTATTGGAGGGATGAATTTAAATAGGCTATTACAAGTAAGCTTTTGCCCAAACTTCCCTAATCGGTTTTTACTTTAATTAATTGCAGGGAGTCTATGTCTCAGCCAAGAAAGCATGTCCTGGCTTAAAATTTGGCATTTTATTCAAAGGCAGATTAGAAGTATTGTGTTTGAATAGAGATAACTGAGGGAGAACTCTACTGAAAGTAAATAAGGAAAGATTATTTACTATTTTGCTTACTGTGAGATCTAGGAGAGGTAATGAAATGTAAACAACAGATTTAAACTCATTTTTGACCTTATTGCTACAAAACATTGTCAAACTAAGCGAATACACTAGTTCAACTGTTACTTTGTACATTTCTTGATTTTAATGATTTTTCACTAAGGAAAGACTTATACCAGCCACAGTTGAAACCAGGTTACTGGGCCGCATGGACTGATGTAAAACTGTAGCTTTGTTCTTTTAGGCCAGGGATCAAAATACTTGGGTTTTGACATAATATGGTTTCTGTGCGGGTGTATGTTAACTTTTGCTGCTGGGTTTTTTGGCTGGATTTTTTGTTTGGTCTTGGTTTTGGTTGGGTTTTTTTGCGGGGGTTTTGTTGTTGTTTTTCTCCCTTCTGTGTACTTTAAGGAAGGATCCCTAATCTTGAGGTGGTTTTATATTTTATGTTTTTCCTTGCCTTTTTAGGCATGACCATTTCATATCCAGTAGCCTCAGTTCTTCCTCTCCCTCTTTGTTTGATGGAGCAGTTATAAGTACTGTAACTACAGCGACAAAAAAACATTTCTCAATCATACTAAACCTTTTGGCACTACTGCTTAAGAAGGATAACCTTACACAAGATACCAGGTAACTAACATTTTCTTCTTAGGAGATTTCTTTTTCCAGTAGAATGCCTTAATTCACAAAATAGGATAATTTTAATCTGTAAAACTTGCAGTAAATTTAACCAGTTAAGTGTTTTATTGTTATGAAACATTAATAGCAAAATACCTGTGCAAAAAGCAGCTGCTCCTTTTTATGCTTGAAAATGAGAAAAATTGAAGCCATCATAAGATCTGTACAGTAAAAGCAGAGCTTATCAAACTTTACTGAAAACAAGTTTTTGCTCATGGAAAGTACCCTTTTACAATAGTTACAGTCCTGTATTACCAAAATGCTGTGAAAGCTAGGGTTATTTTTAATGTTGTAAAACTTTTTGTTTAAAAATGCTAGTTAAGGTATGATACTCATTTGTAACATGAAGTAGTTTATGTAATATTGAACGATAATTTTCCTTTAACTGTACAGAGTGACTAACACTTCTTTTTTTTGAAGGAAACTGCTCATGACGTGGGCTTTGGAAGTGGCTCTTCTGATGAAAAAATCAGAAACATATGCACCGTTATTTTCCCTCCCATCTTTTCATAAGTTCTGTAAAGGACTTCTAGCAAACAGTAAGATACCTCATATTTTTACTTACTGTGTTTTATGTGGTATAATTACTTTGTTGTATACCACTGCTAGCTGTAGCTGTACTTGTTTCATTTACTTTTGGGGATGCTTCCATTTTGTGTTGCACAAGAAATTACATGTTCCTTTTGTCATTCTTCTCAAATTGATCCCTAGCTTTTTCTTATGCAAACAGTTATTTTCTTTAAAGAATAATTTGTGATTGTGAAATTTATCTACCAAAAATGTCAGTGATGTGCCTAATCTAACTTGTAAGATTGCATTTTATTTTATCAAAAGCTGTGGAACCATTCTGTGATGTGATATATTATTTTGGATTTCAAAATAACCTGGAAATAAAAATATGGGAACAAATGCTTTTAGTAGCATATTACTAGCAAGTGCACTAACTTCCCAAGACCAGAAGTTACTGATGTCACCTTAGTTTTTCTTACTGAAATGTATTGTGTATAATGCCACTGTATGGAGTCCACAGAAGGATTCATATCAGCTGTCAGGAAAGGCCCATAAGTAACATTAACACAAGTGACTTTCTGTTTGCTAAGCATTTATTTGTTATAGTAAAACCATTTATCTAAATCAGAAGAAAATAATTGCTTAAAGCCTCTGTCTACTTCTACCAGCTGTGCTGTAAAAATGTTTTTAGATGTTCTACTACAACTGAAATAATGCATAAGTTATCCAATTCTGGCAAGAGTAACTTTTTTTTTCTTTTAACTCCTTAATTCAGCCCTTCTGGAAGATATGAATATTTGTCTTCAAGCATGTAGTAGCCTCCATGCCCTTTCTTCCTCTCTACCAGATGACCTTTTACAAAGGTACTTGCACAGAATTCTGTGTATTATTTGAATATGCTATTAGTGGAAATGGTATGACCTTTCTTCATTTTTGGTGATAACAGGTGTGTTGATGTGTGTCGCGTTCAACTAGTACATAGCGGTGCTCGTGTAAGACAAACTTTTGGAAAACTTCTGAAGTCAGTTCCTTTAGATGTGGTGTTGAGGTAAGTCATGCAGATTAACTTCAATATAGAGAATGATTTGGTTTCTTTCTTCAAATAAATTTTTCTGAAAAATAATGCTAGCCAAATGTCATCACATTTTCCTGTGAAAATGTGTCTTGCTGTCTTCTGTCTTCTGTCTTCTGTCTGTCTTCTACTCTTACAGGTTTAAGAACAGTAGGCAGTACTGAAAAGTAGTTAAGAAATTTGATAAACTACGCAGCGCTTCTTGCAGGAAATACGTATGCTTGTAAGGTCCATGTTATCCAGAGCTTCAGCAATATTATGTCCTGCAATTTGTCCCAAATGCTTAAACTCTTAAAAGTACTTTGTCTTAATAGCAAAGAATATACTTACTTCCGGTCATTGCTTATGTATAAATACATAGATATAGATATAGATATAGATATAGATATATACACACACACAACTTTTTTGCACAATTTTTTTTTTTATTTATTCAAGTCATTATAGCATGGGTTGTTTTTTTTTCTCCTCCTGCCTCTTTCTGCAGTAACCGTACCCACACAGAAATACAAGAAATTTCTTTGGCTATAAGAAGTCATATGAGCAAAGCACCAAGTAATACATTCCACCCACAGGATTTCTCTGATGTCATTAGTTTTATTTTGTATGGAAACTCTCATCGAACTGGGTAAGAACTTCTAAAACTGAAAGTCATGGATGTTGAACTCAGAGTTAACAAAGCCAAGCTATATCTAGTTTAATATTTGTAATTATCTTTACAAATTATGTTGCTTTACCTTCAATATTTTTTTTTACATTTCTGTCTTAAGTATTTATTAATATCTTCACATACATACCTATTTGCGTATGTTCATGGCTGCTTGGAAATAATCCTGTGAGAGATTTGTTTGAGAGCAATAGACAGCTGAAGTGTGTTCAGTATAAACTTGTCACCACATGACCTCATGTTTACATACTGATCTTTTCTTTCAGGAAGGATAATTGGTTAGAAAGATTGTTCTATAGCTGTCAAAGACTAGATAAGAGAGATCAACCAACCATCCCTCGTAATCTGTTGAAGACTGATGCAGTCCTTTGGCAATGGGCTGTTTGGGAAGCAGCTCAGTTTACTGTTCTTTCAAAGTTAAGAACTCCTCTGGGTAGAGCCCAAGATACATTTCAAACAATTGAAGGTAATGTAAAGAGTATAATTTATTTTATGGGATTTTTCTTTTGTAAGAGAGTGTGCAACTAAGAACTTAATTTCCAAGACAATGGCTTTATTTTTTGGTGGTTATAGATTTTTAGCATGTTTTTCTCTGACACATCAAGAAATGTAATGGCAAAGAGCATTTACATAATTACTATTAACTTTTGAGAGATTTTACTTTAGCATTGCTCTCCCTTGACACATTTAAGTAAAGTATTGTCTGGTAACTCTTTTTTTCATGTTTTGATAAAATGTGTAGGTATTATTAGGAGTCTTGCAGCCCATACATTAAACCCTGACCACGATGTTAGCCAGTGGACTACTGCAGACAATGACGAAGGACACAGTAGCAACCAGCTTAGGCTTGTTCTCCTTCTACAGTATCTGGAGAACTTGGAAAAATTGATGTACAATGCTTATGAAGGATGTGCCAATGCCCTCACCTCTCCACCCAAGGTTTGTCAGTCTTACAGTCCTGATGTTACCTGAAACAGTCTATTAAATGAACAGGATTTTCAAGGTTGTTCAGGTTTTAACCATGAAACTTCAGAAGAACTCAAACAAAATTTGTGACACTTAATTTGTCTGGCTTTGAATTCATGTTCTCAGAGAACATGTGAAAACAGGATTTATTTCTGGAGTACCAGCTTGTACAGTGGTACAAATCAATCAAGTCTGTAGTAACTCTAATTTGTAGCAGTCACTTATTTATAGATTTTCAGCAATCCTGTTATAAAGCAGCACAATTATTTGAGGCTTAAAATTACTTTTTGAGGAATATAATAGTTAATTATAAACAGCATACCTTTTCACTTAGTTCTCACTGCTAAATGTTATTCACTGTTGAAAGAAGCTGTTTAATTCCCAGACTTTGACATGGCAGTAATATATAATTTAGAGTGAGTTGATTTCAAAATTTTTAGCTTTCCAGTATGCCTGGCCAGTTGCATGCTATGCATGATTTCAGACCATCCGTCTTAATAAAATTCAAGATGCAGAATTTTTAATCTCTCAATTGAAAACTCAACTGGAGAAGAGAAACCTGTCTTGACTTTGATTGTTACAAATATTAAGTACTTAATGTAACTATTCTGATTAATACAGAAGAATGGTATTGTAAAACTTAACTTTTCTGTCTTTTTAAAGGTTATCAGGACGTTCTTTTATACTAATCGTCAGACATGCCAAGATTGGCTAACACGGATTAGACTTTCCATCATGAGAGTTGGGTTGCTGGCTGGCCAGCCTGCTGTGACTGTCAGGCACGGTTTTGATTTACTCACAGAAATGAAAACTAATAATAGTATCTCTCAGGTACTCTCTTTTCAACCTCTGTAGACTATTGCAAAAACATTGCTGTGATACTCTAAAAGAACGTTAATTAAGGCAATCAGTAGTTATTAAACCAACTGGTCTGTAAAAGATTGTGTTATTTAAAGCTGCAATTTAAACTCGTACTTCTGTATAGACAGAATGTTGTGATTAAGTGGTAGTGTAGGTTGGAGATTAGGACGTACTGTATACATGTGGTCAAGTGCTGTACGTAAATGAATACTATAGTTCACAGTTTGGCTTGACCAATTTCTCTTAAAGGGGAAGGTTCTGCTTAAACCTTGTGAAACTTCTTTTGTATTAGCATGTTGCCTTCCTGAGTGTGTAGCAGTGTCTTTGCTTACCTGTGGATATGAGCAGGAAGAGGATGTATCGTGAGGGTATCCTCCCTCTATAAGTAGCAGATAAGTGCAGGAGTGGGATGAGTGAACAAAGTGGTTAAGCCTTTTTAAAAAGGTTGAATAGTTTCTTCAGTACTTGACTTGAATTTCTTAAAAATTTTTACAAAGAAAGTTTGATAGACATTTATTACTTCCTGCTTCTTTATGAGTTCTCATACTTACATAGACCATCACATAGCAATTGCTAACTCTTGACTTTCAGACTGTGAATTCACAGTATATACTCTTCCCTTTGCTTTTGGAAAAGCAGGGGAGCTATGTAATGGATGGGTATGCAGAGCACTTCACTTGTGGATGGGTATAATTGAAATATCCAAGTATTTAACCATGTGTATAGCTCTTACTTTGTATGATAATTGTTACATAAAGCTTTTGGTTTGGTTTTAGGGAAATGAATTGGAAGTGACAATTATGATGCTGGTAGAAGCATTATGTGAGCTTCACTGTCCTGAAGCTATTCAGGGTATTGCTGTCTGGTCTTCTGCTGTAGTTGGGAAGAGTCTTGCCTGGATCAATTCTGTAGCTCAACAAGCAGAAGGGCGGTAAGTTCTCTCAGATTATTGGATCTTACAAACTTGAACTTTTTTTCCTCCTCATGCATAGTTCTACTTCTGAATCCTTTAAATTGTGGCATGAATCAAGGCTTCTAATCTAATTTCCATGTCAGTTAGTCAATGTGTCTTTCAGAGATTCCAAATGCATCAAGCATTTTTTCTTAATTTTTAGTACACAGCAATATTATTTTCATATTGTATTTAACTCTCCTTTGCAAAATATTATTAATTGAAATATGTTCTAATGAAGTTTCTGACCAACGATGTGATCTGAGTACCTGTCACAGTTTACCAAGAGAGAGACTCTGTGAGAGATGCTTTGCAGTTTTAATTCAGCTTTGAAAAAGTGGTTTCTACATCTATTGAAGTAGAATCTTTGGCTGCAGATACAAATAAATGGGTCAATGTTCCAGATAGGGTATGCTTTCATTTTGGTGTTTTCATCTCCTTAAAGGAATGCATCCTTTCTTCTGTAGGAAATTAAAAAGGAGACACCTTTCATTATTTACCTGCCATGTGAAAAAACCCAAACAAAACCAAAAAAGGAGGTTTAATATTTATAACTGTTTTTTTTTTTTACATTGCTGTTAAGTTCCTTAAAATAATGTGCAGCTTTGTAATATGTGCAAAGTCTCTCAGAATTGTCAAGTTTAAGGTGTGAATTGTTGCCCTAGACCCAGTTTTACAGTCCTCTATTAAGTGATGTATAGCTAATCAGTATTCGACTTTATTAATTGAGGTTAAAAGTGTGACAGTCAAATATAAAACTCATTTATCTCCTTCAATCTGTACTTTGTTTGAAGTTGGCATTAAAACCTGAGTGGAAAAGCTTTTATACTGTGCTATAGCCTGGAAATTCAGCCAGTAAACTTGTGTGCTATGTTAATCCCTTTCTTTGTTGAAGGTGACACATGAACTTCTTTGAGTATTTGAGTATATGTTTAAAATATAGTCTAATTACCAAAAAGAAATCTGGTTCTGTAAAATGCTGACTAAGGTATTAAACCATTTAAGGTTTGAAAAAGCAACTGTGGAATACCAGGAGCACCTGTGCTCCATGACAGGAGTGGATTGCTGCATAACTGGCTTTGACAAAACTGTTCTGAAGTTGGCCAATTCAAACAGTGTGAATAATGCCAGCCCAAAGCATTCCTTGAATGGTCAGTATTTATTGATTTCTTTTTAATTAAT